TAAATGTCAGATCTCTCATCAAATCTTTGATTTTTGGACAAAAATGAAGAAATTGCACGGTACGAGATCTAGACTGTGTGCGGAATTGGTAACAAGCTCCACCGTTGCAGAAACCAAAAATGACTTTGTCATATTCACCGTGTGCGCATACTTCATATTGTCATAGTGCAATAGGATGCGATTTCTAGGTAAGCACAAAGTTTTTTAACCTTTAAAGAGTTTTTTTTAATTTGGCTAAAATCTGTATTCAAATATTCTCAAATTTCCTTTCATTGGTGATGTGTTAGTTTTCTCAAATTCGCTTGAAAGTAGCCGCGTTTTCCTCAGTGATCAAAAATAAGGGTTGACTTCACGAATTTTGTCATGGAGGAAAACATGGTCATTTTGAAGACGGGCAGTGCAACCTTGCGCAACTTTTGAAATCATAAAAATTACCGCTTATTATCTTATCGCGCTAATCATAATAAAGATAATTTTTGCTAAGGATGACAAACTTTAACTTGTGATTAAAGGTGTTGACACGCGACCTCTTGCCAAAAAATATTTTAATCAATATAATATGATTCTAATGTTTCAAAAATTAAAAATTCAACATTCGAAATTGAAACATTTATGAGTGATTAGGAGCGCAGAACTTTCTGTGTGCCATACGTATTACATTGTCGTTGAAGTATATAGAGGTTATTATCATTACATCCCTTTAGAAGTCCAGTGATGAAAATAGCAAAAAGCACTCTCCTGAGCCACCTGCATCCAACGACTTCCCGCGTGTTTTACCAGATCATCATTCCATCTATTGAGGGGACGCCCTACATTTTGCCTGCCGGCATGAGGCTGCCACTCGAGTTCTTTTATTCCCCATCGGCTGTCAATTAATACTCCAGTGGGTTATGTCAAACACTATGGTTGTCTGACTGTCGATATCCTCATGCAAAGAAACCCCGAGCATAGCCCTCTACATAGCTCGCTGAGCGACTATGAGCTTTTTTTTTTGGGAAACCAGCACACATTCTACCTGATGATAAGTGGTTGCTGTGGCCCATAGACATCTATATTCATCCTCGTTTGCGAATCAAAATGAAGATGCGTTGTCAGCGTTGAGGAATAAGATGGAATGCCTCTTTTCCAGTAAAAAGAGGCTCCGGTTCTCTACACTCACCATACGAAATACAGGAGCATTAAGCTGCTATTTGACGCTGGTATTCTGTGAGAGCGTGGTCCTTCCCCGGTCGAGCCGATCCATTCGTGCTACAACTATATAATTAGTATAGCTACAGCATGGCTGTACCACGTAAATACTTCCTCATACGGTCAGCAGTTAAAGATTACATCCTAGATCAATTGGTCATCATTGGCAACACTCGATCAGTGCGTGTTTATTTTATTTATTTAATCTTTGTTGAACCTTACAGACTAATACAGAATTAAAGGGCGTATTTAAGGTTATAGAGAAAAGAAAGTATAAAAAGTAACAGTAGATTTGCCTAATAATTAAAGTTTTAAATAATTTGATTGATATCAGCGTATTAGCCAGCAAGAATTGCGTTGATGAAAAGGATTTATCATTATCAACGCTATTGGCAGGAGTGCTAGTGTTTATTGTACCAGATATTTCGTCTATTTCACATCTGATGTAAATAAAATGTTTATACCGTCAAGCATCTATTGAAAAATCATCTATTCCAAAAGTAAAATAACGTTAAAAAACGTTTAGTAATTCAAACGTTTTAGTAATTGAAACTTTTTTAAGAGAACAAAGAATAAAACATTAAAAATAGAAATAGTGCTCATAAAATTCCATAAAATTATTTCATTGCCAAATGTTATTGAAACTACAGAATGGGAGCTATCGACATTAACCTTAGTGGTCTCGTCGCACAGGATTGTACTGGTTTATTACTCCACCTTGGTAAACTAATTTAAACACAATTCGTAATGACAAAGACGTTATTACGTTCAAAGTGCGCGTTTAAGACTGAACAGGGATATTAATCTATTCACGTAGTTAATGCAGATGAGTGTAACACAAATTAAAATATTTGACCTAAATTTAAAATACTTGGTCAAGTCTAGTGAGAAATGATATATGCTATATATGATATTGCGAAAAAAAATTAATCTTGGATTTATCAATAAGATCCAGAAAAAAGCGCCAGTCGTCGGTCTGACTATTTAAAAGTGAACCTAATCCGAAGTCGTAAGATCAAAAATCGCAGAGAAGATTTCGATCGCAAGTTTATTTATTTTGACGGGGTATCTGTTACATCCCTTTAAAAAATCGAAGAAGCACCAATGCGCGAATGGTATACAAACAAATGCTTGTCAAAAGTGATCACTGCTGTAACCAAAATAAGACCGAACACGGGACTCGGCGAGCTACTGCTTCGTTATGACAAAGAATCCGCGCTCTGAGTGTTTCAAACAAGGGACTTCCTGGATGCAAACTAGTTAAGTTTTTGGAGTCTCTCTAGTGTTACAAATTAGAGGCGACATTGCTTTAGGTTCTGATGATAATTGATATAATAAAATACATTATATACAGTAAAATTTCATTTTATTTTTTATTTCAATGGTTTATGTTTAATTTTAGTATCAAGAGAACGTTAAGCAATTTAGGATATAATGCTCTTTTTTTGTAAAATATGATCTTAAACTCTTTAAATTAGGATTTAGGGCTATAAGTCTGCTGCTCTCATTATGCTCCCCCATTTTGCCCGTCCTAGCTTCAATTTCACCAGCACGTGATATAATAATATGCACCTCGCTGGTCGATGAACAATGTGTGAAATGAAATTTATTTTATTTATCTATTTTGAGATTTTTTTAAAGAATATTTAACAGTTGAATTAACTATACAAATTATAATATTAGAAATAGCTAAGTGGGTGTTATTATCATCAATCGCTACCTTAATATTATAATAACCCTTTTTAAATAATCTTGGTTTTGTTATATAATTTTTTGAAAGTGGCGGTAGAACAATTGTCTATATTTTTGGGGGATTTTGTTCTAATAGTGTATATATTGCCACAACTTGCAGTTTCTGGCAGTTTTTGGTATTTACAAAATAAATATTACTACTTGTTTTTTATGCAAATGTATTGAGATGCCAAAATAAGTAATTTCCTTAAATTTTTGTCTTAAAGACTTAGGTTTTACATCATTAATTCGAACTGCACCCCCTTTCCCCAAGGAGGGTCGCTTCCAATACGGCTGAAAGACCTTACCAGATCAAAGTCAGTCTCACGTGGTGCTCAGTGGGTGGGCACTGAGGTTTCTCATTGAGTCCCACAGAACCACGCAGACGGCTGCGTGGTATGCGTAGAGCATTCACCACCTCCCTCCCTAGCTTCCCGGAGGGTAGCCCTTTACTTTGCTTCTTAGAAGCAAAAATACTCAGAAATTCTCGTATGACTCTCTTTTGAAAAACAAATGTAAATTATATTAACAAATTAATTATTGATTAAAATTACTTTAATGGATTTACCGCGTTTAATTTATTTTTAACATATTTTTCAATTTACGTGGGTTCATATTGATAATCAATCAGAAACCGCGTAAAAGAAAACACATAACTGCCGTGAAGCATCAACGTTCCGGTAAGTCTGCAGTTTGTGATCACATCCTAGACGGCCCCAAGCATTACATTAGATTTGATAGACCACAAATCCTCGCAAAAGAACATCGATTCCTACCAAGGATGATACGTGAGGCTATTGAAATTAAAAAACATCCTAATTTCAATAGAGAAGGAGGCTGGGTACTACCACCTGCTTGGGACCTATAATTAAAAAAAATTAAAACAAAACCTCGTTCATTCTGTGTAGATTGGGCCAAAAAAATAATAATTAAAAAGCTGAAGATACTCTAGGTTAACACTGACATCGAGACGTCAGTCACCTCAGTCCCCCGTGACCACGGTTGCTGGAAAGCCCCCGAAACGTTGGGTATTGAAAATAAAATAAACTAAACATTATAAAATCCGTAAAAGTAGATTTAATCAACGTGTAGTGTTCACTTGAACGTTTAATTATTTATATTTTTCCGTAGCAAAGCGCTAAACATTTTGACCTATCAAAATACCTTACGAAATTATTTTATTAAAATTTGCTTCAAATAAACTAGTCTAGCTGTTACAACACTAGTGTGACTTCTAATCCATTTTACAGTATACGCTGCAGAAATAAATATATGGTGCCCCATTAAAGCTTAGGGCCTACTCTTTCTCATTTAAAATTACATTGGTATTTAGATGTTTAACATCTGGTGCATACATATAGTTTTACTTTATTAGTACCTACTGTTATAGAGTCGGTGGAGACGTTTCATTACTGTATGATTTCTTACACTAAGAGGTAACCATTAACTAATTCCAACGGAAATTTAAGAAAAAACTGCTGATGAGCTAAAGTGCAGTCTAGCAATCGATATAGCTTCCATTTGAATATTTTTATAAAGAAACTCTATATTAAATTTTCTCGTAACTCGTTATAATTTTTTAAAAGCTTTTAAATTTGCTTTTAAGAGGTGTTCCGCGTTAAGGGTACCTACACTCATTATTATTATCTTTCTTTGCGAAATGAGGAATACTTTTTTATAAGGCTAAAGCATTTACTATATAATTCACTATTTGACACAAATACCAATACATATAACAATATATCACGTACCTACTTATTGAAAATAATGAAAATATTATAGCTGGACGCAAAACTTTTTACGATATTCAAGAAATTGAAGCAGTTATTCATATCCTACCACGTGTATACAAAATCGTCCTTGTTTTCCTTATAATGTTCTGAATATATTCTATTTGACATTCCGAGATTTCGACTAAAATATGGAACGGAGATATTTAATTAAAGCATAATGTTTATCATCATTATCATCACCACTACAATCTATCAAAATACACTACGGAATATAGGCTTCCCCCACAGATTCAATACCACTATGTGAAAATAAAATGAAATTTTTATTATATATCATTTATTCTATACCTTCATATTTCAAGGTTCAGTTCCGACCAGCAACTCTGAAACAAATAAATATTTTTAATTTGTTTAAAGAATAATTATTTAAATATAAATTAGTTAAAAATTATTAAAAGTTTTCCACCGTAACTCATTTTAAAATTCTTAAGTTGAAACTATTTAACAAGCACTATAATGAAATGAGCATCAATTTTAATTTTTCATAATCGAACACACTGGTGATAATTATTATATCATTCAGTGATCGAACATTGACTTTAAATGGAAAATTTGAAATCAAAGATAGTAAAATTTTATACGCCATCTTTGTTTTTAACAAAGATTTATTTATTACGTATTAGCTCGGTTTTAAAATCTATCGTTTAACTATGAAAATTAGTGAGCAGTTTTCCATTTTTAACAAGGTTCAAATTAGGTAATGAACTAAAAATACACGAATTTCGAAAAATCTCAAACTTAAGAAAAAAGTCGCCGTTTCTCAAGTATCTTAAATATAAGTTATATTTAAAGGTATTCAAAAACACTGGTTGTACACTTTTGTGTCAAGGTTTTGAAAGATGTTAAGCAAAAATATGTGGTCATTTCCTGAGCTCTGTCTACCAAGTCAAAAATGTGTATATTTACTTTTTCATTGAAGTCAGTTATAACTTTTTTTTCACTGCCATTCATAGAAACTTTAAGTTTTTCAGTGCTTTATAAGAAGAAATACCTGCAAATAGAACTTAAATGCAATCATCCATACACATTTTCCACAGCAAAACAGATCAATAAACAGAATTGGCCACATTTTTTATAGAATATGTGACAGTCATGCTGCACTGTGTTCACCTGATTATAAGTGATGATGTGGCCTATAGATTCTTACACCTAAGATAAAATAGCTAAGGTTGAATGCCTCGTTACCAGTAAAAAGGGTTTCTGATTCTTAATACTCTTCATTCAAAAACAAACTAAGCAAACGTTCATTCTTCAAACGTTCCGTTTAATTTAGAAATAATAAAATAAAAAGGAATAAAGAATTCTCGGAAAAATGGTATTTGATTTAATTAAATAACTTTTTCATAGCCTTTGATTTTTTAACTTTTTAAGAGCAAAGTAACTAATAGGTCTATTTTTGCTTCCCCGTCGTCAGTAAGTTATTAAATTCAACGAACAGATGGGGACTAACATCGAAAACTCATTAATAACGTAAGACCCCATCTAATTTTACCATGACTAAGCAATATTTTATAAATTGATCAATTTTGACTGCGAGACTAAGCGACATTTTGATTATTTTGGGTATAAAGTTATGATGAGATAGGTAGCAGTTTGATGGAAATTATATTAATAAAAGTTAAAAAGTAATAAGATTTAGTAACATTGTTGTATAGTTGCATAATAAAGACTTTCTTTACTTTCAATGGATTTTTGTATTAAATAGATTTATACAAATAAATAAAAAATTGAAATTTACGATCAAAAATGGTATACGTACAATATTATATAGTGGTATTAAATTAAAGTCCAGTGCCAGACATTTGCATTTTCCATAAGGAGTGGTTTCACTTGGCACTTAGCAAGAGGGTTGGTGATAGTGTTACTTATTTTCACTCGAGCAGTGTAAAGTGTGTGAGAGAGTGTGTGAGAGTATCTATCACAAACCTCTTATATGAAGCGATAGAATGACGGTAGGTATAAGCGTCAAAAGGTGCAAGATGTCTGGTACCGCAATCGTCTGATCTGATTGCCAAACGTGACGAACGTGTGAAACAAAACATTGGGAAGTTTGTAGTGAGAATGTTAAAGTGAATTGTAAAAAAAAGAAAGAAGAACTGATTGGGACGTAATATTTTTGTAGTAGAAACTTTTTACACTACAAATGTTATTCAGATATTAGAAAAGGATTACATTCAATTCAATATTAATAACTAAAATTTCAAATAATATTATGCTTTTGGTAAAAACAGTGTAAGTTCGAAAATATGTGAATACGCCGTAATGCTCATGAATTTTTTCAACTTAATAAGTATTTTAAAGATGAGACTGAGAAAATGCCTCTATCTAGAATTCAGTTTCTTTCCTAAAAATCAAATAAAAATATTGGTAAATATAGTAACAACACAAAACAAACATTCTTTACATTTCTCAAGAGATTAAAGTAGGAATTTTTAGGGAAAAATCCGACACTAAAACAATGTTCTTTTTAAAATTTGAATTTAGGGATGAAAAGCGAATACATTTTACTGTTATCGGTATATTCTGATAGTAACAGATTGTTTAATGTTCTTTCTTCATGGAAGTGTAAAAAAGTCCCAAGTAAACATCTGACACACACACACACACACACACACACACACACACACACACACACACACACACACACACACACACACACACACACATACACACACACACACACACACACACATTATTTTAATTTCGAGTATTCAGTAAGTCTTCTTTGAGTTCATACGAGGAAATATCAAAGTTAAATAGAAAAAAAAAACACGTACTGAACAACTAACACGAAACTTTTCAGTTAACGATGTTATAATTTTGTTATATATATTATAATGTTTAATTGTGGTCTTTTTTTTATAAAAGTGGCATAATTGTTAAAGGTAAAAAAATTCAGTACATATTTATATTGAAAGTTATTTACTTACCCCAATATAGGTCAGCGTGGCATTTCTATCTTTTCCTAAAATTTGTAGGAAACTTCAAATCATAAAATAATATGTATTTAGCGAATAAATTTGAATATAAAATACATAGTTATAATTTTCAAAGAATGATAAAATTTCTGATTTTCACCCTAGAAATTATGTACGTAAAATCTAGATTAAGTATCCTCGAAACATTCGTCACGACCGTACGCGACAGAAAACACGCTAGACTGACGGCGTTTCCGACGTGTGAGTAACCCCGAACCTGAGGAACAGCGATAAACATCATCTCTCTCAGATAATTGCAAAAATATATCAAGTAAAAAATGCAATTTTAGAATTGACATACTGTACAATATATTTAAACATAGCGCGCAAAACTATTTTTATTGAAATATGCAGTATTTGTAATTTTACTGTTTTCATTTTCGGGTACTTTAAATGTTCCCTTATTATAGGGATGTTGCCCCAGCATGTTTTTATATATTGTTAATAAAATAATAAATTGTTAATAAAAGCTTAATTGGAAAGGGACCGGACAAATAGCTTGAAGACCAACAACCAATGGGGAGGAAAGTTTATATATATAAACATCCTGGGGCAACGATTTTTATGTAGTTTTCATATAATTGGCTAACTTGAATATTTTATTTTGTTACACTTCCATATTTTATTGTTTATCAAAATCACAAAAATTAAGCTGGTGTTTCACCCAGTGATAATTATTGCAAGTATGAATTATATTTTTATAAAATCTCTAAAATATAGTTGTTGCCATATTCACACATATTAGTGTTATACTTACTAAGAGGTCTCTCATCTCTATCGGAAAAAATATCCTCTATTGACATTGTAAGCGTTGAGTTTTATGAGAGTGCATCACCGATCGTTTTATTACAAACATTTTATCTTTTCAGATCTTGTTCAAACAGATTTAACGTAATTTTAAAAGAACACGGAATTCTTTTGCGACATTTTTCCATTTACATACCAAAATGGGCTATTTTAGCGCATGAATAATTAGATGTCTATTAGTTTGACGTGATCACCATCAGTAACTATGACGATAACATATCTATGTTATTGTCATAGTCGCAGATGGTGGATCTCTTACTCATTAAGATTACCGTCGTCGATACCTCTGAAAGACTAGGATATTATGGTATCCTAATTTTTGGCTTCCATGTTTGTGATTTTGAAACTTTCATCGTCATTGACCTTTCCACCCCATCGGTTCTTGGTCTTCAAGCTATTTTTCCGGTCCCTTTCCAATTCAGCTTGACAAATTGATGAGCTATGTCAGTTGTTTTAACTCTATAACGGATATTCTCATTACGAATACTATTACGCAGAGAAATTCAGGGCATAATTTTCTTTAAATTTCGCTTGCCATCAAGCGACCTTAAGTTTCCTCATACGACCAGCTCTGAAGAACCTCGTCTCTTTGCATTAAATATTTCGTCTTTATTAATTCGAAAAAAATATCATCATTAAATGACAATATCATTGATTTTCTTCAACAATATTATAGAATGGTTCAGATCAATACTGGAAAAGTCATACTTTCACTTACTTAAGATATCGTATTTATAGATATCAGAGCTTGTTTGCTGTCAACAGGTACGCTACCTATTTTTGGGAATTTAGACGTAAATAGGGTAAGGCTTGGTGTTTCACACTACAAAATGTAGTAGGTTAGATTATACTTATTTTATGAAATGAAAGTACCTTCGTTCTTATAACCAAAAATTTTATTTTGAAGCATTATAATTTTTTATATTGCAGAAACATGTTACGTGTTAAGAACCGTGTAAAGTAATACACAATAAGGATAATCAGTATTAAATTCTGACGTTTACGTCGTCGTCGTTATATATGCCGTCTAATTACAAAAAAGTAGTTAACAATTAGTCTCAGGTTTAAATTAGAATCTGTTTTATGTAAGAAGTCACGCGGAAATAAGCAAACTATAATTGTAGCGGCGCTGCCGTCGCCGCCACAAGCGAAAAAACACACCGAAGCCTAAATCACGCTATCAACATTCCGAATCATAAACAGCATATATAGAACATCTCCGAACTATCACACGGAGTGTCGGCCGCTCCCCGGGCAGAACACCTTGCCCGGCGGGAGATCTCCCCTTTTCCTTCTACGGCCACAGTGGAAAACTTACTAACAACAAGATTAAAAGTATGGAATTTCACAACAAATGTCAATTTTACAAATTACCAGAGCTACGGTTAAGGGACTTCTTTCCTAAGAAGTAACCAAGTTGCAGCAATAATACGATGGTTATTGCATGAGTAAGTCTGCTACAACGGGGAAGTACCACGCTGTCACAGGATGCTGCTGTTTTACTCTGGT